CAGAAACGGATCCTAGTGCTGTAATTACATGATAAATGTCTGCCTAACACATGCCCTCTATTTAGCAGCCCCCTGGAGACCGCGGATAATAGACAGCTAACAGGGATCCGCAGAATGGGCCTTTCAGCACTGGCCGGGGCTCATTGTCTACGCGCCAATACACCCTCACCCCCCGTTTGGCAACAACGCAGACCCCGATCAATCCCCTGTGCTGCCCCCCCACCAGCCTACTGACCCCTCCCCATACACACACACACATCCCTTGTCAATGCTAAGTAGACAGCAACGTCAATCATTGGCATTACACTGCATCGCTAATGGCTGCCAAACAATTTCACAGGAGAGAAAAGAGTTTTGTTCAGTCATTCATCATGTAATGGTGACTTGGTTTAATGCTGTTGCCTCTGACCCCTGAGCAAAATGTGATAATTGGCATTATTATCATCATCGTGTCTTTTGTTGCTTTTTTCCTGTATCGTTCTGATCAGAATGCAGTTTTTGATTGTGTTCTGTTGTTACATACCTAAGTGTTTTTTTACACTGCAGACCGAGCCCAAAGGAGCGTGGCATGCTTTGTCTGCAGACTTTGTTGGTATGCAAAGGACTGCTTAACAATGTGTAATCTGCAAACATCTGCTTTAGTTGTTTCGACATATGCTCACAAGGCTTACAGTTATCTTTAACCAGCTGCCTGCCTTGCATGCAGTAAAGGTCCAGTAGTATACAACATTCAGAACTATGTTTTCATTAGTTTATAATCATCTGAAAAGAAGAATTTTTATGTTTCATTAGCATAGAATGAGCCGTTTATCTCTACATATGGAGCCAGTCCTCTTCCACAAAAGCTGCTGCATAGCCCAGAGCGGACAAACCAAACACTGGTTTTAGATAAGGCCTTTCAAGTCGTCTAGGTCATTGCAGTTCCTACACACTCCGCACACCGGAGAAGTTTCAGCCCTGCAACTTCACTGTTAGAAGTCCTACACACCAGGCCTTTAAAAAACAAAAAATGATACTTGATTTTACATCACATGGACACAGCTAAGCTTACTGCAAAGGCAAATTAAAGTGTCCCTTTTACAATAGCAGGTGTGTATTGCACTCATAATCTAAATTATTAGTGTATAAACAGAGGCCTTGTCATTGCAACAACTTTCAGGTCATGAACTGAAGAAACCTTGGATGTGAGGTTAAACGTCTTCAAGAAACTCAAGCAAGTCCAGTTGGCTACGATATAGCACTTAAGATTACCATGACCTGGATGACTCAGAATCTTCACCAACAACTTTTAAGTTGCAGAAAGAACACTTGATGCAGAATAAACATAACAAAGCATCCAATACTGCAGCACATCATCTATATTCCAAGTTTAAAACCATTATTTGTGTACTTTAACATGAGTTTTAGCCATTTAGCAGATGTCACACAAGGCCTCACTGCCTGAATTCAAAACATGCAAAGTCACAGGCAGGCTGGGTGTGACAGTGAGAGCAGCAGTCAGACCAGACGGTGACATAAAGGAGAAGGAAAGCGAGGGGCTGTCAACTCAGGCCACCAAGCGTAAATGAGACTATCTCTCTGCACTTTTTAATGCAAATAAGGCTGAGGTGAGTAAATAGAAATGTGCACAGGTACTTTCATATAACGCTTTTATATGATCTTTTTTTATCATCGAGTGCCTGTGTACTTGTGTAACAACAGCGATGGAGGTCGTCGCAGTTTGAATCTACATCTGGACTGATCAGATATGCATGCAAAGGAGGATGCTCTTATCTAAATGCATAGAGTGAAATGAGGAATCGTGTTTGTGAACAACAAGGGGAATTTGCCTGAGATTTGCCTAGCTGGCCCTAAACAACGGTCGACTCTTGGGGGACATTTTATATATTAGCCAGGCAAGGCCACAAGGATGTTGGCTGTTAAACAAATTTGATATATAGTGCATTATGCCTTGTTAAAATATTAACAGTAATTGCTTTTGATGTTGGCGTACTTGCTGTTTATTTCTTGTTCCTGTTAATTCATGAATACAGGATATAACCGATTTACTGGCAGATGGCTGTCAGTTGGTACCACGGAAAGCCCAATTTACCTGTTCACCTCAAATGGCAGTTGAAATGGTCTGTTGGAAGGAGAGGGTTGTATTTCACTAAGACAAAGGCAGTTTGAGTTTGAAACTGCAGCCATTGATTGTCTGCATCAACAGAGGCTCAGGTGTTGTCATGATGCCTTTTGACTCTGACAATACTTCATTTTTCCTCCAGATGGCAACAATTTTCCTTTTCCCTGTTTTTGAGAGGAGGATTTCAGAGGCCAGAAGCCATAAGATAAACACATTGCTGTTTTTTAAAGTATGTTATCTGTGCTTCAAAGATCTTAATTTGTCACAGTCTCTTTATTCATTGGTTGACTTTTAATCATCAGAATCCGGTTTATTGCCAAATAGGTTTTCACATACAAGGAATTTGCCTTGGTGTTAAAGTGCATAACAATAGACATAGTAAAAGAGTGCGACAAAAGTCATGAAACATAAATAATACATATATAAAACATGAAAAAAATAAAATATTTTCTGTATATCTGTTTTCAAATGAAAGCTGCACAGTCCTGTACAGGAATGTGTGAAAATATTGACCAGGGAATGTGCAAAAGTTCACAGTACGAAGTATATATCTTGGGGTTATTGCCCACCATTGCCATGCCAAGACCACACACACACACACACACACACACACACACACACACACACACACACACACACACACACACACACTACAAATGTAACAGCTCTGCCTCAGTACAAAACGAAAAGCAGACATTGAATGAAAAGCAGTGCAATCTCAAGCAGAGTCTGACAATAACAGACATATCAACTATCCCCTAATTGATACAGCTAGGCAGTCAGTCAGTCACTTAATGAATAGCTAATAGCCCTCAGCAATGCTATGAGTGACAGGGCCCGAGCATTCCACCTGGTGGAGGCTGCCCGGGGACTGCACTGGATGGGGATGCTTCTCATTAATGGAGGCGGGATGCCTGGCAATTGTTCAGTCTTGTGTGGAGAGGCCTCTTGCACATGGAGGCCACGCTTCTCCCTCAGCTAGCCCCCGTAGCCGCGGACAGCCGAGCGTCACAGAGTCACCGATAATGAAGACTTGATCAAAGAGACGTAGCATTCCAGCGGGCCCGGCCGAGCAACCGAATAGGAAGAGAGAGCAGGGCAGAGTGAAGGAGTGAAAGGAAGACGAGGAGAGAAAGGAGTAGAGGGAGAGAGGGGATGATGGGGAGAGAAGGGTTATAGTCCACTCTGCATAGTAATGCTGCAATTAGAGAGTTTGCAAAGCATGCTTCTGCTGGCAAAAGAAAGCGCACTGATCTGGAAGTCGGCCATCAAGGTTTAGAAAGTGCTTGACAAAGTGGTGTGGTGTGTGATGGTCAATAAATTGGTTTTAATGGCTACAAACTGGGCAAGGGTGAACACAGAAGGCCTTACTTGTATATGTATAAAGATTTTTTTTTGTTTGCATCAGTGAAAAGCTGCAGGTTTTTTTAGCTACAAAAGTAAAAAAGTGACACTTCTTTAAAACCCAATGATAGAAGTCATTAGTGTATCTGCATTATGGGTACAAGTAGAGGTACATATGCTACTCATTCATTTGCTGCGCTCGCCACAAGCTGCAGCATTATTTATCTTAATGCATATAACTGCTAGCCCTTCAACTGACCCATAATTTGCTCCTAATAACTGCTGTGGGCGGACTGATTATAGCTTTTCATTAGTGCCAGCAGCTTTTACTAGTGCTATCCCAGCTAAAGGGCCCTTGCTATAATTGTTAGCCATTATAAATATAGTACGTCGAAAGTATAGGGGGGGTGCTGACGCCTCTTTGTTAACTGCTGGTGATTGAGCAATTAAACTTTGGCAACTTAATTACCTCTCCACAACAACATGGCTATGAGGCATTAAGACTGGCATTATGGTAAACATTGTTGTCAGAGAGCGACGGCCTTGAGCTGGATGATGTATGAGTCTTTGTTTATCGCCAGCTGCTCGCAGAAGTAAACAAAGCATATGATGTCAGGTAAAGAGTAACAAAGTTGTTTTTTGTGATGTTTTGTTATGTTATTTTAATTATTGATTTAATTGGATTTAAATAAAATCAGAAAATATTATTAGAGCATCTTTAATTTTTATTAATTTTTATTTTTATGTGTATTAGCCCTGTTATTACAATATTTATTCATACCTGACCACCAGCCTATTAATTAATTGCCTACTTAATGTGACGTGTTGTAGAGCACATAGAGTGAAGAATCAGGCCCCACAAGCACTGCCGCCGCAGCTAGCTCTCAGCATAGAAAGGCTAACAGATGTTGCAAGGAGCAAAACAAAAAACACCAGAATAAAAACCAACATCCATTCGTCAGCCCGAGTAGGAATCACACTATGCAAGCTCCTCATTAAGTGGCATTAAAACTGTGAAGGTCTATAATTATCGAATAAATCCTTTCCCACATGAATGAATTCATCTGCGTGCCATAATTCTTCCCCACACAGAGCAGCTCTGGCGGTGAATGAGTCTTTTGTGCGCCACTGTGGGAAGGCTTTTGTGAAATTACACTACTGCATAATGATGCTAATCATAAATTAGCATTTCAAGATGGAGCAGCGTGTTTGTTTGTGTGTGTGTGTGAGTGTGTGTGTGTATGTGTGTGTGTGCGCTTGTGCATATGAGTGTGTGCATGTATATAAATTTGACAAAGTAAATCTAAGCAATCTAATTTTAATTTTCATCACCAGCTCACTCAAGTATCACCAGACAAATATTCATATTAGCCTTTCCTCCTGATTTTTTTCTGATTGTGCCATGTTCCTGCAGTTACATACCAAAATCAATCAAAATATTTTGTTGAGCAAACGTTATCACTTAAGTTTTTAGATCATAAAATGTAAGAAGATCTTAAATTGAGTTCATAGTTTGTTTCAATGTTTCCCTCAGGCAGCTGCGGGCCATTGTGGATGAAGTTGAACTCAGGACTGACCTCTCTGCTTGAACGTAAGTTTCCTCCCTTCATCATCCTTTTCCTCTCTCTTGCTATGTATGTCTCTCTTTTCTGTTTTCTCTTAAAGCTGCCGCACAACTAGACAAACAAACACGCACAGAATGCAAAAATCAACACACAACACAGGGATTGTAAACACTAATAGAAGCCACATGACGGTGATATTAGATTCAAGTTTCTATTCATTGGCTGAGAGTAGCAGGTGTGTGTTTCATTATCCACCAAAGAAAACACGACTCCAGTGTGGGCTTCTTAATGTAGGGGCTTGACCAACTAATGAAAGCAGACAAAGAGACCGATCTAGAGGCAGCGCCCACTCTGTGTCCACTTAGCACCGAGCTGGAACCTTTGCCAATTAGGACCTGTTTGTTTGATGTGACAATTAACAAGGAGGCGCTTGGTCATTAATACCAATATGGTTTCACTCTGCTCACTATTAAGATGTCCACCTTTGTTACAAACATCCACCATGTGTAAAAGAAGAGACAAATTAACATTTTTTACATTAGTTTGCCTTGTTGTAAATTTTGTGTGTCTACTTATTAGTATTATTATTGTCAAATAGGTCATTTTATTGAACACTGTGCGTATATATGTAAATAGAGCTGTTTAGATGGTCACTCACAAATGACTCAGGGGTCATAAGTTCTTGATATTTACTTGCAGACTCACAAGCATTGCTTTCAATTACTGCAACAATGACTAGATATGTGTCAGGGTTATGCAGAAGTCATTTGCATGAAAAAGATCTCTGTGACCTCAGGACGAGGACCACATGTAAATGATAACTGATGCAGTCTGCGACACAACAAAAGGACACTGACAGCCTTCCAGTCACATTTAAATTTCACCTCTATTTACAGTACCTGAGCTTTTCTCAGGAAGGGAGTCATTCCAGAAACACATTGTCATACTTTATAGTAAGTCATTGGTCGGCCTTTGTTGTTTTCCAGTGCCCTTATTACCGGAGTCAGTGTGACCATAGTGCTTTGCATCTTTCTCAGCTCTGCCAAACAAATGCAGCGCGTATATGCAAAGCGTATGGCTTTTTCAAAGATAGAACTTCATACACCACCGCTGCTCCTACGATGTTTTCTAATCTGATTCTTAAACAGAGTTTGACAGTCCCTGTTTTGCCATTGGAGTGTTTTTGCCACTTTTGGATGTGACAGGGAGGTAGCTCAGTTTCTGAGGGTTTCCTGTATAATGCGGAACACCCACTCCGTCATGTATAGCACAGTCGCAGCAGACCTGGGCTTGTTAATGCCTTCATTGCAAGGGCAAAAAGTACATTTTACTATAGATACAAAAGGCAGCAGCTAAAGTTGTTGCAGTTATCTACATGAACATGAATTTAATGTGTGTAAAAAATAATAATCAGCAACAAAGACTTCAGTGGAGGGACAGATGGCTGTGGCGCTGACTGTGCACTAGGTGGTGCCCCATCTCTTCACCAAAGCAAACCCACACGGTGCTAAACCCAACACTGAACCTGTAATGAACTGGCTGTACATGTGAGCAGGAAGCTTTAGTCACGAGTGTCAGAATATCAAGTTAGCAACACTGGCAGATGTTTGTCAGTCAATTTGTTCTTCTATATTTTCAGATAAAATCAATATGGACAATACTGTACTTAAGTTATACGGAAAAAAGTGTTTGGTATGTGTGCCACATGTGTGCACAGCTTCATACACATGTATACACATACATAAGCATGTTTGCAAATGTACTAACACACACTTATGTTCCTCTTTTACACACACTCACACCTATATAAGTACATACAGCCCTGAACACGCTCTCTGTCTCCCCCCACCCCCTCTCTCAATAACTCATAATAATGTGATCTGAGGAGAGAAAACTAGTGCTGCTTGATTAAAAGGGATTCAGGTGATGAAGGCTCCAGTCTCGGAGCTGAGGGCCTATAGTTTCAGCCCGGCCCAAGGCAGCAGCTGGAAGCGTAATTACACGGGCTGATTTATACATCATTAAGGCCTCCATATAAGTCACCCCTTTTGAAAAGAGCAGTTAAGCTACTTATACTTTTCACAAAACAGCAGCAATTCTGTATAAAATGAATGTATGCCGTTCCTCTGAAAGCATATGGTATATTTCTCACCTATTAATAATTCAAGTTGAATGAGCAAAAATTAGTTGGCTCGGTTACCGCCGCGTTTGTCCCACATTAATTTCACCGACATTTTGTAAATGGGGCTATTACGCTAAAAACAAAGCAGAGTGAATGACCACGGTTTGCCGTACTTAGGAAAAGAGAGGGCCTCATTCGTACACCTGTCATTTTCAAACAAGGCACCATTATGGTTTGCAGAGAGGGGGATATCACACCTTTCATTGTGGCTGTGTCCCTTCTGTGGAAAAGCAGTAGCCTTGAAATTGTTACCTGCGAGAGAAAGCCATTTGTAATCTGAAAACCCAGACATTTGCTTTTCACTTCAGAGTCTGTCAAATGAGTGCATTTCGGTCACCGTTTCAAAATGAAAGAAGCGAATAATTAGCATTTCCACTGAGGCAATTTACGAAGCCCGTGTGTGCTTTACCCTTCGCGTTCTTTCATTCTACATAATGCACGCATTGAGTTTCTCCTAAACTCTTAAACTCATAACTAAGGTTTGATTGAAATCAAATGAGGCCCTCGTTATTTGGGTAGCTGCAGAATACACAAGTGAACAGGTGTTCTTTTAGATATACCGGAGCATATACATTTTAACAACCCTTGACACCTTATATACACACTGATTTTGAGATACGCACACACACACGCAGACATTCACCAGCAACACAGAAGGAGCAGCTCAATGGGGCTGAGCACATTGTTGCTTTAACCTTCTGCGCCAGTTATCCCTCTCAGAGCTCCAAGCCTTGGCAGCTAACTCTATTGGCTTTTTGTCATGGAGCCTTGGCTTGTACAGTGGCTGGGGGTGGATAGCAGAGGGGGAGAGATCAGGGGAGAACAAAACAGCAAGAAAAAAAAAATCCTTTCTTTCCACATTATTTCAGGAGTGAAGTGAGCGTGAGCAGGGGCTGGAGGAGGCCTAGTCAAGGCTTGTAGAGGCCCCGTCGTCTTGGGGTCATTATGCTCAGCAGATCATTAGGCTCTGAAGAGGAGGCACACGACACTGCAGCCACAACCTCTCAGCTGTGTTGCCACCCCCTCCTCACCCGACCCCTCCGTTCCTCACCGAGGCTGAACGGTGAGTAAATGACCTGACCTCTGCCAGCACCTTGGCTAAATACTTGTATGACGGCATCTGTATGGCTGCTTGATGCTGAGATGGATGGACGAATTTGGGCTGCATGATATGGGGAAAATATGTGATAATGTTGTTAAATATTGTAGATAGAAAATAGATAGATTAGTTTATTTGTCCTATTAGGAAAATTCTCTTCATGCTTTCATACATCTTGAGTGCCAACCCAACATATACACATACCCCACAGATACAACATACATTTGCCGCACACACATGGATTATTATGTAATAATAATAATATCACTTGCTATAAATAAAAATATATGAAGATATATGATAAAATGAATCAGAAAAAGTTCATTGATAATATTGCAGTTACCCCCAAAACAATTTGTTCCAACCTGACTTTTGTTACTGATTTGAAATCCAAAAATCAAGCATATCCCCAAATTCATTTTCGTAATTGTCGTGCATGCACCACCAAAGCAGCAAGCTAGCTTGGAAGATGGAGATGCCTAAAAACATTTCCATTACTTTGATGCTGTTGGGAGCAAAGATGACAAGAGCATCATTGTTCCAGGCAGTGAGAACTAAGATTCTTTCCACTGGAAAACCTCCCACAAACTCTTATCTCTCAAAACACCTACTAACACAGCACATCAACACGAAGCTCCAGGAAATACACTGTGCCAAAAATGAACCATCCTTTACCACAGAGGATGGCTGCAGGCAAAACAACCAAAACTAAATTTTAATGGTGGACAGCTGCAGGCTACAAGCGACATGGATGGATGGATGTGGGGTGAATAAAACGTTGCCTATCTCTATGATTCACTTTTGGTCTGTCAGACAGATTTTTGGGAAAGTACTAGTCACTGGCAACAGAACACCCCCACTTAAAAAAATTATTTGCCTTTGTCATAGCATTACCAATGATGAGCCAGATGTTCACAGAGAGGCCCACATGCAAAGTCGGAATTTTGGGGTGTAACGGAAAAGTAATAATAGTACTTTTGAAGAGAAGAATGTGTAATGAGTAATAAATTACATTTTTTGTTTAAGGAACCCAACAGCTGATAAAATACAACTAATTGCTTGCTAAATTAAAAATTATTTCCAACATTCTTTTATTGAACAAATTGAACTGAGCACAAAAAGCACCAATAATAATAAATGGTCGTTACATTTTAAAGTGTAGTTTTCTACTGATTCTGTGTTTCTACGAACTAAAAAATCCCTGAGTGCAATATCAGTCTTTCATAATGTGTTTATTGCACAAGTTAAAATTGCAATGATGATGCAGCCCTCGAACAAATTCAGCAGACTTCCTTCCTAGAACCAAGCATAGAAAGAACTGGGTGTACATATTGCCCTCTGTCCCTGTTCATCTCCACCTGGTGACCCCCTGCACCTTGGGATTGAAGCGAGTCCTGTGTTGAGGGTGCATGTTCCCTCGCCAGGTCAAGTGAGCTAACAGGGAAATAGCTAAATCAGGAATCTGTAATTCAACACTCACATGTGCAGACTGAACGTGTTTGTGTCATTATGATATTTTACATGATGAATTCTGTCCTTAATGGACCCATTAGCGTGCAGGAAGAAACCAGTCATACAGAGGTCATATCTCAAATGGTTGGCAGTCATAAATAAAAGGGCAGTGACAAGAGAGGAACTGTTAGATTCGTATTGGCTGCCACATTTACAAACTCGGCCCTCTCCCCGTCGCTCTCCTCCTACCTTCCCTCGCTATCTCTTCCTCCTTCGCTTGAATGTCACCACTCTGTGGGAGGATTTAACGTTGCTTTTAACCCTCATCGCCTCATAATTACCTTGACATTTACCCTGCATTCAATCAAGTTTTTAACAGCAGATTTATTGCAATGACTTTTTTGTATTGCAGAAGGCAGCAGTAATTATGCAGGTTATTAGGAGTCTTCATGTTAATGCAGTTTTACATCGATAATATGCGGCCTCCACTGTTTTCCTGTATGGAAGAGCGCAGTGTCAGCTGCCTTAAGACAGAGTGACACAGGAAAGGACAGAAATACTATTAGATGAAGTATCAGATGACTTGGGGTATGAGGAGTGGAACAGGGTAGCACTGCCTCTCCCTCCTTTATTGCTCAGGTTATTATCACAACTGCTGGGGAATTGTCAAGACGGGGAGATAGGAGTGGCAACGATCCATCCGGGACTCGTTCATCACCACGCGCCGCAGCCCCCCGAATAGAAATTACATCTGCATCTGAATTAGTAACATTATTCGCCAATTTGGCTCAGAGTGAACATTGTTCCATTGAAGGTGGAATTAAATTAGAAAATGAGTGAGTCTTTAATTTTCAGATTATAAATCAGGGAATATAATTCACCTCCTTGTACCTTAAGGGCAATCACATTATCCTAAGCGACATTTTATCCTCAGCCCCGCCAAGTGATCTCGTCACGACGCGCAGTCACACACCAATCATGCTTCCTGGGGAAGCAGGAAATACATCTTCTCCTCCAGAATTAGACATAAAATATGAGTGTCTTCTCCTGCGTGAGAGCTTATTTTACATGAAATTTGATGGTCCTTCTGAACTCATAAACACTATAGAGAATTACTTGGTTCAAGTGATGTAGCTTCTCTTTGCAGCTCTGCAAGTGCATCATTTTGTTGGTTGAAAATCAGGTGAACATATAGAAAATGTAAGTCCTACAGCCCTGTCTCCTAAAAATTACACTTATATAGAACTTAAGTGAAACAGCAAATACATTATGAGTGAGAAAATTTAGAAAAATGATGTTCATTAATGTATCATGCAAGTCGCAAAAATATTGATAGTGAATGTATGGATAGTGCAAATGTTGACAAATGTTTACAGACGATGTGTTTCTGTTGTTTTCAGCCAAAATAGGCAATCTTTCAATACAGTATCCACTGGTACTGAAAAAACTTTCTCTAACCATAACCAAAGTGCTTTTGTTGCCTAAACCTAAGACGGGGGTCTGGAAGCAAACCCAAAGTTCTGGTGTCAAGGTCTTGCACTTTGTATGCCCGCTATCCTCCCCAACCACCCCCTTCCAAAGCCTTTGCAGTACATGAATAGAGTGTTTCGTCATATATTGCCACCACAATGTAATTAAGAAAGTAGTTTACTACACACAAACATTTCTAGGAGACAGGATTGGTCCTACAAGTGTAAAGTGTCTGACACTTTGAGAGTTTTTCAAATTGAAAACACACATGCAACCACTAAGGTTATTCAAAACCTCAATTTTATGGATCTGAAACCACTCAAAAACACCATCGTGCTCTTTGTTGTACTGTTCCATCTTTTTAACATGGTGCAACCCTTTGAAAGTTCCTACCAGGAGAAAAAGATCTTTAAGAGCAACTGAGCTTTGCACCTTTTCTAAACAGTCCTGTAACATTATAGTGAAAATGCTGCTCGGCTGTAATAAACAACTTAGCAACTTATAGTCGCACATAACCTGGTCAAATTAGAAGGAATGGATCGACCTTTTACTGCCAGCCGCTGCTATACTGTGGTCCAAAACTCTCAGCCTGTTCATTTCATTCTGGCCAATGCCCAGACCTCATTAAAAATGAATGCACTCCTTAAACCCCAACACTAGGCCTTTTCCATTAGGGAGAGAGATATGAGGGTGATAAACATTATTTGTGATCGGATATGAATCGTGCGAGGATTGGCTGCAATATTGGAAGCCACATTGAAAAGTGATTGTGCTTGAATTCCCCCGTGCAGTTTCATGCCATATCACAGCTCTTGTAATTTGATTCCTATTCATTTTGGCCATTGTTGTGTATTATATTGAAAGCCCTATCAGACTGATCTAGACCAACCAATTTGGATTTTTGTTATTCTGTCCCACTTGGTTGATTTTAAGCTGATCAGGATATTTGCCTGGCACAGTCTTGGGCATTCTGAATGGCCTTATCTTACATTTAATTACCATACCGCCTTTGTTGGAGCAAAATTCATCTATTTTGGTGTGTAGTGGTGGGGCGCGTTTCTGTCTGAGCATATAAAAGAGAGGGGGAAAAGGAGAGAGGGACGGGGAGTGTTTGGTTGTCTTCACTTTCTGTCTGTAGCTCTGATGTCACAGCCCCCTTTGATATACTGTACAGGTGTATTTTCACAGAAACAGTGCATTGGTGGATCCCCCATAAAAGGCAATAAACCTTGACAGGCTATTGGAGATTCACCCCTGAGCGCTCCACTGACAACCTCCCAGACATATACATTTAATATTCCATTGATTGATTGATTTTATGGGACATGGTTAACATTATCATCAATACTGCCCTCGGGACCAAGACACCAACTTAGTCGGAAAAGACTTGCCATAGATTATACATGGCGAGGTGCCTGATAAACATCAGTATGAGGGGATTTTTTTTATTGCAGCACACATATGGTATACCTTTTTATATGTGTATATGAGGGCTGTGTGCGTATTTCTGAGCATGTGAATGTGTGTGTAAGGCAGTGTGTAGGCCATATGGGGATGCATTTCATATGGAATTGCAGTACAAATAGATGCACGTCACCCAAGTGCATTTTAAAGCATCCTCCACACTACTGGTGGTTTGAGCTGTATTGGCCTGACTGTTTGACCCCGGCACGGTAATCCACGTGCCTGTCTTACTTTCCTCCAGGTTCACTGACAGTCAGAACAGGATGATAATGGCCGCCCTTGGACACTCTGCACCAGGGGGCAGGGATGTGATGGGCTGCAGCTCAGGCACATATTAATATTAATACGTATAAAAGCCGTCCGGCTGGCACAGAGTCATCAGCTGTAGACACACGCAGACACACACACACACACACAGAGGGGAAGTGTGCACATGGAGATACACACACTCTCTCAAACGCACATCTGCATGCTTGCAGACACACACATATACACAAAAACAAGTAAAAGGCCCATTATGGATGTGACTGCGTAGCGTTTGCAGATGGACCG